GTCGGGTTCGGATTTCCGACCCGTTTCTCTACCCGGGTCGGGTTAGGGTTGACCCGTTTTGCACCCGGATAAGTTCGGATTTGACCCGAACCCGACCCGTGACCCGAAATTGACACCCCTATATATAATAATAATAATAACTCTTCTCCTATCTTATTTTCTTTTTTTCGAAAATTAATTTTGTTAATTGATGCTGCAACGTACCCAAATATTTAATAGTAGATTTTATTGACTATATACATTCTAGGATTTCAGTTCTTTAACATAAAGTTTGTTAGCCTATAGGGTTTTCTAGCTTAGGCCGATAATTGTGAACTCTACACATTTATCGTGTTGAAATTTATCATTATATTTGTTGCATGCTAATAAATTTAAGTAGATATATAGAAATTATATTTTACGTCTTAGCAATGCAAAAAAATTCCACACAAATAGATAAAAATGATAGGACCAAAATTCACTATATAATAAGTAATACAAAAATCATCATTTTATTGTTGAAGAAGAAGAATGTACAAAGATCAAATGTTTGTACCCGACAATAAGGTCAAATATTGACAGTATTCTAGAGATGTTGATGCTTTTTTATGTGGATTGTCGGTCGTTGGTAGTGACCATGGCTAAAAAATAAGAGAGCTCTTTAATTTTGTTCCTGTTCTCTTCCTTCTTTCACCTCCTCCTTTTCAGTGAAGAATGAGGAGTCTATTTAATTTTTTTTGGGAGTCGCATGACTAATAAATAGGGAAAAGATTACGGGCATGTTGGGAGTGTTTTCACGGACGACCGATATCAACTCACTCGATTATGGATAAATTATTGAGGATTTCAGTGTATTAATGATATCAACTCCCTCCAATTAATCTTGGGCTCATTTGATTTGTCTCGTTGAGCCGCTCGATTCGCCTAAAAGCATGTCACATTTGAATATCATTTGATCATTCAATTAATATTCTGAAGCTTCTAAATTGGCTTTGGTCATTTGATTTAGACCCATTTGAGCTTGGATTGAATCGAATTTGGTGTCGTTTGGTTCATCTCCTTGAGACATTCAATTTGAGTATAAGCTTGCTGAAATCGAAGTTCGAATGGCCCTTATTTTAATTTTTGAAGCCTCCGACTCATACATCAAGATTTGTGTCCGATCAAGATTATTTTTTTATAATATATCAATATTAGATGATGTCTGCATCGCTTTCTTTTGACATTTTATAAGTTTTTAATGATTGATATAAAATAAAGTTGAGTTTTCTTAGGTTCAACATGTTTTTATATTTGAATTATTATTAATGAGAAAGATCAAGCTTCTATGGCGGTTAATCGCATCATTGACCATGGTTCCTTAAATGTAAATTTTTCTTTCTTCTCATGTAGGAAAATTACATTACGCTTGTGTTACATTACTCTACTCTCAAATATTTTTCTTGAAAATAAAAAATTAACATTCAAAAAATCAATTTTAAAATCTTTAATCAAGTCTTAACATACTAATAGTTGAACTTAAGCAAATCTCCTAACTTTAAAAAAAAAATAGAAAATATATATATGTTTGTGTTAGTTGTACATATTTTTTGGTGAAAACATATCTATTTTTTGTATAGACTGTACACATTTATTTTTATAAAATCATTAAATTTTTTAGGACAAATGGTGCCTCTTTAAAAACTAAGAGAAAGATTTATTTTTTTTTATGAAGTTTAAAATGATAATGAAGTCGGTCAATGCAAATATAAGAAGTGCTCAAGACTTCAAAGATATCGTGTACAAAGGTTTTGGTAGAAATTGAAAGAGAAATATGGCATTAAGGTCACAGATGAGTAATATAAGAATTAGATTCAATATTAAAGATCTTTAGGAAGATGATTTTGATGAAAAATAATGAGTATGCATAGCATATTCATATATTATTTCTCTAATTGTAGGAGGTCATAATTGATTACTTATTTTAAGTTGTAATATATTAGCATCATAAAATCATGTCTTCAGCAATATTATGGATATATGAAGCGTTATGATTATTTTTTACTAAAGTTTTGTTGACTTATTTTGTATTATAGGCTTATGTTAAATAGTTGGTAATTTAATCTGAAAGCAGAACCGCGCACAAGCAGCTCTCACCCGACTCGCGACGCCTTTGCGGCTCTGCCTCCGGCATCCACTGGTGCGTCCGCCGTCCAGGAAGTCGACGCCTGCGGCCCTGTCTTCTTCCGTCTTGGTTCCAGCCAGCAGCACAGGTAAGAACTTGCTTTCAGATTGAATACTAAATTAGAATCTGCTTTCAGATTACAAAACACCTCGTTTTCCCCAAATCTCTCTTCCGTTCTTCCTGCTCGGGCTTTATCGCGCCTTACCAATTTTTCTTTGATCGGGATTCTACAAGTTGTTTATAAGCTCCCCACTTTATTTCTCTCCTAAGCCCTAAGTTCTTTCTTCTCCACGAGATCTTTTTCATTCATCGAATGTTCTTAATCTGATTTAAATCGTTATTTCAGCAATCTTCTTATTTCATAGCTTTCTGCGTTTCTTGGGGGCTGTATTTGAGTGGAAGAATACTTGAATTTTGAACTTTGATCATGGGATTGGAAATGGTGATTATTATGATTTTCTTGTTTTTTTTTCTTCATAATCAGAACTTTACAAATCTCCTTTTTAATTCAATTAGCATATTAATCTCTTTAAAAGTTTGTTTAAATAAACCTGGATTTACTATTCAATGTTGGCAATCATTTGAATGTGAAAACCTTGATTTATAAATCACAGCCATTGATATTTTTTTTCTTGAGCTGACTTGCAGATTTGCATGCCTTATGAATGGAATTTTTATTTAGTTTATACTTTTTATGTTTGACAATGATATTATTATTCTTTTTTTTTTTCAAAATATGAAAAACAAAATGTATAAATTGTAAGTGTACTTCATCTCAGTGGCGGATCCAGCCCTTTTTTTTACAAAAAACCCCATTCATTATATTAATTTATCCACTCAGTAAGATTTTTTTTTTTTTTTAGGGTGGGCATTTGCCCACCCTTGACAATACTGGGGTCCGCCCTTGCTTCATCTTATAATTAGTAGTTTATTTTTAAATAAAAGTTTTTAAAACTGTCAAAGCTGATCCCAAATTTAGATGAAAAAAATTGAGGGGATTTAAAAAAAAAGCCCCTTCTATGAAATTTTTTTGTCTCCGCCACTATATATATATATGGACCATGGGTGGTCTAGTTAAATCCATGGGCCCTTCTTAAGGTGCTTTGAGATTTATGTTTTGGATCATTAACTTCAACCTTTCATATATGAAACTAAGAGATGATAATTTATTGAACCTAGGATTGACAGAGTGGAAATTACCTTAGTTTGAACCATTCTTCATAGTAACTTAATTTAGTTGCGAAACCAATAATAGAGATGAGTCCACTATGTGTATGATAAGTTATTCATTTTTTAATGTCGGGCCAATATTTTTTTGCTAGTTAATCATATGGGATTTGAATAAAGTCAACAAAATTTATGGGTTTAGGTGCAAAGCCCTGCATTAGGTACCCATACTCACACCCACACCCACCCACGCACCTTCCCATACCCAATGGGCATGGACGGATATGGGTGGTACGCCCATGGCCTCGTGGGTGGGTACTCAACATCAGGGAACAAACCGATTTACATTACTAATCATCATATGCATGCAATATATAACAGTAATCTTTACTACATAGTGTGCAACACTGAACTCCGTCGTGACCACTACAAATTTTGATATGTGGCGTGAAAGTTTGCAGTTAGAGAAAAGGGCAACAAATCTTAAGTCAATTAATCTGTGGCAGACTGCATTCAAGAAGCGTAAAAAGTGGATGGGTGTGGGTGGGTATGACATCCCGAAAGTCACCATAGATGGGCTTGGGTGGGCAAAGCCCGCCAGCGCAGAGCGTGGGCACCCAATGAGTACCCAACCAGGACCCCATGTGGCCATGTGGGGCTCTGTTTAGGTGAACCCATTCGGTGCAACTTCTTTAGAATTAGTTCTTAAGGATCTTAGGTCATGTCCAACTAAATTTCAAATAAATTTGAGTTGGAATGACTTATATGGCTTAATGGGTACAAAAGGATATCTTATTAGGTTTTATAGTCAATCCTATTTAATGAAGGTCAAATCTTAATCCTAATAAGATAATTAAGATCGATTAAGCAAGATCACTTTGGTTCTTAAGAAGCTTTAGGTTTACTTAACCATAAATTTTGGGCCTTGGTAGACCATGGATAGCTAAGTTTAAGATCAAGATAAATTTAGTCAGCATGGTTCAAACTTGGTTCAACCCTAAGTTTAGTTAGGTGGGATAGGTCATTAGGAGTGTTTTAATTTATCTAAGCATACCATTGGATTGAAATTAACCTTTAATAACCTTATTTAAAAAATAATGGTCACCTAAATTCCATATAGACTTAGTGGATCCAATGGATCTTACTTGGTTCAAATTTAATCTACATTAGGCTTTAAATAGTTAAGCTAAAATAAGTTGGCTTTTAAAATGTTCTATCACTGCCTATGTAAAGGATAAAATTTGGATTAACTATTGGTTAAATGAATTTAAGATACCAGGCCATTTAAGGCATCTAGAATTTTCATGGCTCTTATTAGGTAAATCAAGGTTAGCTTAAGGTTAAACTGATTATAATAAATCACTTAGGAGTGTTTGAAATATATTTATATTTAGTGCATATATTTTTATTAATGCTTTTAAGGCCAAAAAAAGTTAGTGGGTTCTATAAGATCTATCTAAGATCAGCATGGGTTAAGCTATGGTCAAACCAAGACTTAACTAAGCCATTAGGAGACTTGATTCCACATTAAGATAGTCTAGACATAGCTTTAATAAGCTCATGATCAAGTTAAATGCACATTTTAAGGGCTTTCAGCCACGGATAATTTTAGGTTAGCCTAAGGCTAATTCTATCTTATGGCATCCTAAATCACCTAGCTCAATGTTTGTTAGGATATACTTCCCCTGGTAAAATATAATTAGACAGGTTTAATTAGATAGATCTATTTTGGACTAGGGTTCTATTAGAACAATCTAAGTTTGGATTTCAATTGGGCTAACACTAGGATAGGTCAATGGTCATGAGAAATATGTTGATTCATTTTATTATAAGCAATATTATAGTTAATCTAAAGGAAACATAAAATGGTTATAAGCGCTTTACACATGATAAAAAGTGAACTATTACTTGTAGTAACATTATTGGCAAGATCAAAATTAGGTCCATTATATAAATCCAAAATGGTTTTAATCCATTAAAGTTTATGTGTAAATAAGAATCTAGGACTAAATTATGTCAATCCAATAAGGATATCTCACTAATGGGGTCTAAATAGTCTTAGATCCATCATGGTAAGAACATAAACTAGATATAAAAGAATCAAAATCATATATAGATATAAAAATAAACTTGGTAAGAACATAAACTAGAAGAAAGAAGATAAACTAATTGAATTCAAAATACAATATCACCTGATAAAATTGAGAATTTTTAAGTGTTGAGGTAAGGCTCTATTAATAATTACTCTAAGAACCTTGTATTACTTCTAATGTATGTAAATATAGCCATTGCATGTTTGCTTTAAAATAATTTGTAAATAATACAACAACAACAAAAACATCAAGCCTTTATCCCACTATGTGGGGTCGGCTACATGAATCCTTTTTCTCCATTGTGTCCTATTAAAAGTCAAATACTCGTTTAAATCTAATGCATACATATCTTTCATGATTTGAATATAAGCATTATTAACTCTTTTCTTTTCAAGAACTCTCCATAGCACTTCTCTTGGAACTTTATCATATGCTTTTTCTAAATCAATAAATATCATATGTAGATCCTCCTTATTTTCTCTATATTTCTCCATCAAACCTCTTAATAAATGTATGACTTCCATAGTTGACCTACCCGGCATGAATCCAAATTGATTTTGAGAAACATTAGTATCACGCCGCAACCTATGCTCTATAACTCGCTCCCATAGTTTTAAAGTATGACACATTAACTTAATACCTCTATAATTCGTACAATCTTGTGCATCACCTTTATTCTTAAAAATATGAATTAGCACACTCATTCTCCACTCATATGGCATCTTTTTAGTTTTTAAAATAGTATTAAAAAGTTTAATAAGCCAAAAAATTCCTTCATCTCATAAGCATTTCCACACCTCTATTGGAATATCATCAGGTCCAATAGCTTTTTCACTCTTCATTTTCTTTAAAGCCTCTCTAACTTCAGTTTTACTAATACGCTGATAAAAACAGAAATCTTTATTTTCATTTAGGGTGCTAAGATCACTATAGTCAATTTTATTTTCTCAATCTTCATTAAAAAGTTTAGTAAAATATCTCATCCACCTTTGTTGAATTTCATCTTCTAAGAAAAGTATTTTTTGATCTTCATCCTTAATACACTTCAGTTGAACTAAATCCTTACTACTCCTATCTCTTTGTTTGGCTAACTTATACATATATCTTTTTCCCTTCTTAGTATTTAATCTATTATATAAATCACTAAAAGCTAATGTTTTTGCATCGCATATTACTTTCTTAGAATCCTTACGAGCCACTTTATATATTTCCCAATTATCATAATTTTTAAAATTTAACCAATTTTTATAACAAATCTTCTTATTTTTAATCTTTTCTTACACAATTGGATTCCACCACCAACTATTTTTACTATTATGAGCTTTTCTCTTTGATATTCTAAGCACATCTTTTACAATATTCTTAATATCACTAGCCACTTTTTCCCACATAACATTAGCATCCTCATGCACAGACAAAATCTAAAGATCTAAAATCTTACTCTCAAAAATATTTTTATTAATAATCTTTAAATGCCTCCATCTAATCCTAGAAAAATGTTTTACTTCATTTTTTATTTTATGCCCCTTTATCTTAAAATCCAAAACTAATAATCGATGTTGGGTACATAAATTCTCACTCGGACTAACTTTACAATCTTTGCAATCTAAACGATTTGATTTTCTAATAAGAAAATAGTCAATCTGGGTTGTACTATATCCATTTTTATAAGTAATGAGATGCTCATTCCTTTTCTTAAAAAAGGTATTAGCAATTGAAAAATCATAAGCTAAACAAAAATATAATATGATCTTTCCACCTTCATTCGTCGTTCCAAATCCATGGCCACCATGAATGCTTTTAAAATCATCTACCTCTCTACCAACATGTCCATTTAAATCTCCTCCAATAAAAACTCTTTCTTCAAGAGGTATCTTTTGTATTAATTCTTCTAAATCATTCCAAAAATTTAATTTAGAACTCATATCCAAATCTACTTGAGGAGCATAAACACTTATAATATTAACAATCTTATCATCAACAATCATCTTTAAAGCTATAATTCTATCTTCAATTCTATTAATTTTATAACATTATCCTTTAAACTCTTATCTATAATAACACCTACACCATTTCTAGTACGACTCCTACCCGAATACCAAAGTTTAAATCCTAAACTATCAATTTCCTTAGCCTTCTCTCCAACCCACTTAGTTTCCTGAATGCACAAAATATTTAACTTCCTATGAATCATAATATCTATTAATTCCATTAGTTTTCCTGTAAGAGAACCTATATTCTAAGTTCCTATCCTAATTTTAGTTTCATGAACTAGCTTCTTTGCCCACATCCATCCTTGATGTGGGAACCATTGCCTATTTAACAATGCACTCGGGCGCCGGTGTAGCGGCCCTTGCACACTTATCACTATATTCAGTCCATACAGCGCGTCGCTTTCAGGGGATGCCCTAGCATTCACACAATATCTTAAATGATTCTTGTCATTATTGTTCGACAAGTTTTACGCCAGCTGTCGACTACCTAACGCAACCCTCCACTTTTCTCATCCAAGACTTGGGACCTGGAAACGGCAGTGTTAATAATTTGTAAATAATGAAAATAAAATTTGCCTCACCTTTGCAATTTTTCTGACATAATCAACATCATACAGCTTATTACAACACTATTCAATACAATTAAATTTATATGTTTCCTCTAAAATAATAATGATAACTAAGATTACAAATTATTTTACCAGTATTTTTCAAGCTTTGAAATCATGATTGTTTTAATTTTCTTTAAATATTCATGCCCACTTGTCTTTTTCTACTTTAATATTGTATAAACAGTATATATGTAAGGAAAATAGAGATTTGTAATTGAATCTTTTTTTCCAGAAAAGACACGTGATCTCATAAAAGGGTCTCAAAAAGTTTTATATGTCTATCATTGTGTCACATTCATTTCTCTATAAACAAATTTTATAGTTGGAATCACCCAATTCCAAGTGCAAAAAAAATACATCTAAAATTAATAGCATTGTCAAGTATAATGAAAGTGAAATTTCATCTAAAAAGAACATCTTGCCTTAAACCTCTTTTAGCATCAAGATAGCTTTATTTTGCACATTCTAATAACTTTTTCTTTCAATCTTAAGAATCTTTCACATATTTTATACTCATGACGCTTTGAGATAAAATTAGTTATCTCTTGCATACCTTCTTGAACAATTGGGTTAACATTATGTAGACAACACCTTAGATAAAAGAATTCACCATTACAAAGAATCCCAACTCTTAAATTTACATCATTTGTTATTAGATACATTGTTAGCTAACTTTTTGTATACAATAATACTAAAAAGCATTCCCTTAATTTATTATTAATTAAAAAAGATTGTACTATTTCAACTAATATTATAACATAATGTGGAGGTGGAATAAAATTAAAGTATATATAGTGCTAAGTATTATTAATGAAATGTTCACTTAAACAAATAAAATCATTTGTGTCAATAGAAGTCTATAAATCGGATTTCCAACAAACTTTGGTAATATATTTAACGAACAAAATTGAATTTCCATTTTCCTTTCACCGCATTTTTTGGCAATCAGTTCATGTAGTATTTCTAGAAATAAGTTATAGGTCTTGGTGCAAATGAAGTAATAATGCTCTAACACAAACCCATCCAATAGATTAATAGAGTAAATCATGCATAATATTGAAATCAATAAATAAATCACAAAACTCTTGATGATCAAACTTATTATCATACATATGAATGTTGAAGTTAGTTTCTACAATAAGTTGACCTATGCCTTAAGTTTTTCACAATATGACACAAAGAAAAAACATGCCATATTATGTTGAATGGTGACTGGTGACAGACCAGCCTAATATCTAAGTTTTTTAGACTTTCATATTCTTTAATTTAAAACAAATGATAAAGCTATTAAAAAACATCCAATACACAACAATTAAAGTCATTTACAAATTCTTTCTCATTCATTCATCTTTAAAATGTATATATACAACAAAAATTATACATTATAGTGCATGGATACACACTCAAAAGAAAATAGAGCAAAGAATAGACATGATTGTACAAAGATCATATTTTTTCTAATATTTTTTGACTCTATGGATCATCTAGCCGTGTATTTATCATATGAGGCTACAATTGGTGGCCCTATTTAATATCAGTGGGTGTATCCTTTTAAGATGTATTTAAATAAACTTAAGAATACCGCTAAGACTCAAATGCATCTTAAATGCTTAATTTGCGAAGCATATTTAATGTACGATATAGCATAATTTTACTTATATTACTTTTACACAACATCAAAATCAAGTAGGAATACTACACCTCAAAATATAGGTCTTGTAGATTCATGTAAATCCTCTAATTTATCTATATTCAATGGAACTTGTGAACCTAGAGGCACTAGTATAGTGTGTTATTTGATTGATAAGGAGATGACAACTGCCAAATTGTATGTCTTGCTTAACTATTATGAAACTGATGAGTCATATCTCGAGTAAGTATGATTGAGCTTGTTCATAGATTTTTTACTCAGAAATCCTAAACCCTAAATTTTTCAAAAGTTTCTTTAATAGTTTGAGTACATCAACACCATTAGAAGTCCAAAAGATAGTGGAAAAAAAATTCCCTAATTGTTTCAAAAAATGGTATGTATTTTGACTATTCATTTATACTAATTTGTCTTAATTAGTTAGCATTATTATCAATAAACATGCTAATAATATACTAGATCTACCAATTAGGTGCACACTCAAGGCAATGATTTGTAGTATCTTGAGCTACTGGATCTAACTTGGGGAACAAATATATTAGTAAAATATTTGTCAATTTTTTGTTGATGGCTACAAATTCCAAACCAAACCTTCATGTTAAGGTAGTAAGATAGATAATTCTGATATTTTTGTAAGAGGGAACACTCATATATATGATTATTCTGAGTACTATGAGGTATTATAAGAAATACTACAATTAGAATATTCTGGTTATAGGAATAATTTGTATCTAATTATTTGTAAATGGTTTGATCCAGTACAAGAGGTACAAGAATACATCCATTTACGATATAACAGAAGTAAAGAGGTGTAGGAGATATGTAAAGTTTGACTCATTCATCATTGCTAGCTAGGAAAATCAAGTCTATTTTATTAACTATCAAGTAGATTGTAAGACAAAGAGGATTGACTTATAATTAGGAAGACCAAACTCATAGGAGTAACTGAGAAAACCACATCAATATCACCAGTACATCAATAAGAGTTCATGTCAAACTTAAAAGATCTTGCTAAAGATGTGGACAATCAAATTGCAATTAATAAGAGTGAGTTGCTATTAAAGGAAGTAGATTTAAATATAGAGGAAAGTCATGAGGAATTTGATAGTGGTGCAGATGTTTCATCATATAAAAGTGAATCAATAAATAATGAGTAAACATAAGGTAAATGATTTTTTATAATCAATTATGAATAAATACTTTATATTAACAATGTAATTTATATAAAAAAAATATAGAAATTTATTTATTTTATTATTTCTCTACTTCATTTATTTAATTGATGTGCTATTTTATATTAAATTTTTCTTATAATTTATGTTGCTAATATTTTTTAATTTTTTTTTTACATATGTCTTCAGGTGAAGAGCATCACAGAGGATTGATCAAAAATTTTTTTTATAAGCGCAAAAAAAAGACGATTGGTGGCCACCCAATAAGTCTGTACATACTGAGGGGACCTCTTTGTCTTAGCCTGCCACTTTGTCTCAGCCTGCCACTTAAAGACCCTAGCATGTTTTACCTACTCCTGCAGCTAGTAGCCCATAGTTCTACTCACCAGACCCATGCTTCCCTTCGCCAAACACAACATATAGCACTCCCTTTTATCCTTACCACCCACCCCCACCTTTTTATAGAGGCCTTTCCACTTATTCATATCTACCATATGTCCCGAAATACTATCCCCCACCACCCCCTCAACTCACTACAGATGGACCTTCCACTCCAGCTGCATCAGAATAGATGACATAGGGTCTCATATTAATTGAACCTAACAGTGACATGTACGTACTTATTAGAAACATGATGGATGAGCTTTTATTTTAAATAAGATAACAAAAAAGATTGGCAAAAATGATTAACTTATCAATGTTTGTTAGAAACATGTTACCATGTGCAGGAGATTGGGTCGATGAGTTTTTCTTTTAAATAAGATATGTTGTATAATCCTAAGTGATATGAAAAAGAATGTATAAAGAGATTAATTGATATGATATGATATTCCAACGAACAAAAAATGATGACTTCTTGCATGAAAGCCACTTGACTTGTGATATATAATATGAGACTAATTCATAATATCATGATTAATATAATTGAGATTAATTTTTGTAGGATTGGCCTACCGAACTTGGTATAAAAAAATAACATAAGCAGTCAAATGTCCTGTCTTTCTTATATATGCATATGATATGAGCATATATGATACATTGCATAAGTGACATAATATGACGTGATACAAACATGATACATAATATGACTAATACAGACATATGACAAGACAAATAAGATTGATATTATTGATACAAGGTTATACAATGCATATGAAACATCTCATTTATATATGAAATATTGTATTTTTTACATGATATACATGCCTTGATACTATATGATGTGCATAAAATGCATATAAACCATTGCTTGATATAATAGGTATACTACTACACATAAAATATCATACATATTTTAAGGGCAAGCAAATATTAATGATAGATCAGCTGCATTATGTATGATCTAGGTATATAAATAACAAAACATATTGATCCTTTATATACCTATTGATCACTAATGATAAGTTATATAGCTTACATTAATTTCTATTGCACATATGAAATGAGACTATTCATATGCTACTTATATTACTATTATATATTTATATTGATATGGATTGAATGATTATATACATATTGCGTTTATTACCTTGCATTGATTACAATTGAAGATTATAATAATTTATGGAACTATTAGATCATCTCATTTCTTTTATATAATTTTTAGGAAGGGGTCAAAACCCAATGGAGTGAGACTAATCATAATTTGTAGATTTTGTTTTATTTTCTATATTTTGGTATTATTATTTTTGTAAACAAAATATACAAGGGTGGTGTGAAGTCCTAGAATCTAATTTGTATAAATTATTATTTTATCTTTTAATAAACAACAACCAGAGTTACCTATTTTTTTTATCAATATTAACAATAATAAAAATAAAATAATAGATCAAAACATCAATATATGCATCTATATTCAATTTTCAAAAATTATATACATTACTTAGGTTCTATACATTCATGTCATAACTACTCTATCCTGAGTACATAAAAATAACTTAAATAAAAAAATAGAACCTGAAGATTTCTAACCAACCTCAACTTCTGATCCTCTACCTTGATCTGAAATCATTTGACTATATATACCAAATAGGTCACCAAAAATCACAACTTAATTCATCGCATGATAAAAGAGCAATATGCATGTCAATAGTCAATTCATAATAGTTACATTCATATAAATATTTAATCAATGCATAAATAATAAAATTCATTAGCAGTAGTAGTATAATATATAAATAGTAAAACACTACGATACGTAAGCTATTAAAGAAGTAAACCAGTACGGGTCTTAAATTTATAAATCAATCATTATATATGTAATACTAATCAGTATAGAAATCAAATAAAGTATCAAATCAAAATATTAGTAAAAACTGTTGAAATCAAATCAATTTAGTAAAATCACATAAAAATATGCACATCATATCCAATTATTCTATATCAATATAAAATCAATATCTTAATATCATGCTCAATACATCTTATATATTACATACTCAATGAATATATTATGCTGTTTATATAAATAAATCAATAACAGTCTTAATTATAAGTTTGTACAGTAATATAAAGAATACTCCAATAACATTCATTTTAGTAGTCACACTAAACAAATAAGAATTATGGATATCCTGTGTTTTTCAGTATTATATCAATGTTAATAAACCGTTGGCTCAATAAATAGAGTTTTCACTCTTTGTCCATCGACACAAAAATTATTTTCTTATAACTCTCAATCAGTATATCACATGAATCAGTAGAGGATAACACAAAACTATAATATTTAAAAAAAGCTCATTGGCTCATCATCCTGTATAGATCAATCAGTCTCTAACCAATGGGTCAATTATTCATTTTTTGCTTTTTTACACTCACATTATTATCGCAGTATTATAACAGTGATAACGACCGACTATTACTCAATCACATATCCACATTCATTTTCAATGCATTTCAGTAAATAAAGCGTAATTGAGCTTAATCCAGAAAGTGCCAAAATATCCTAACGGCAGATAATAAAAACCATTCTGAGCAAAAAATTATATTTTCACGATTTAACCAAATTATCAAATATTACATTAAATACATTATGAAGCTTTAGTTGAACTAAATCATAATATTTAGATGTTAAAATAAATTTGAACAAAAAGTACAAAAAAAATATAAAATCCTTGAAATTAAAAATAGGTTAAAGGTTCTTTACAATAAGACGAGTAAATCTTTCTACAAGTCTGACTAATGAAAATTGTTCCACGACCTCTAAATCCTATATTATATAATTAATTTAATTTAATTTTTATATAAATTTATATAAATTCTTTTGTAGCTTTAAAAATTAAAGAAAAATATCGATAAAATAAATTATTTTATTTAAAAAATATTGATAAAATTAATTTTCAAAACTAACTCATAGATCTCAAAATCCCTAATTGTACTGACAAGTGTCAATTTCTTAAGAATTTTTACTAATACTCAAAAATCATGTAATTAAAATACTACAATCTCAATGCTATAGCAAAGACTGTTTGTAATTTGGACTTATAATGACTTTAGAAAAAGATTTATTTACTTGGATCAAAATATAAGCTATTACAAGTGGATTAATATATTGATTGACCTCCTAGCTATTATAAATTAAATTTTAAGGATTAAATATAAAATATAAAATATTTTTTTTATATGATTTCTAATTACTTTTGCTAAACTTATTTATATTAATGAAGTATTTGTGACTTTGGTAGATTAATTAGGATATAAAATAAATATTTCTTTCATAAATAGATCTTGGGGCAGCACGTGTCATATTTGTTATCACATTAGTATGTTGAGCTACTTTTTTATATTTACGCATCTATTTACCATCATTTAAAAGAGCCATCATCTCAAAATAATCCCATATAGTTGAAGCCAATCTTCTCCTCTTCTTATAAACTCTTCCCCCAATCATTTTCTCGTGATCATTTTTCTCGATATCCACTTCATAAAATTCATCATAATCTAATTCAATATCATTTTAACTAACTACTTGTTCATTATGTTCATAAGGAATACTCTTGATAATAGCTTTAGAATCTTCTATTTAAATGAGAAATTAAACATAACTATAAAGAAAATATGCAAACTTTTTTTTTAAGAAAACCCACGGAAGGCCTACACATTAAAGAGATAAAAGTAACAAGTCTTTAAAGGATCAAAAGCCTACTAAAACGACAACTATTTAAATAAAACTTAAAGAGCTTTGGATCTTATCTAATACAATGAAGAGAATAAAAATGAAATCAAAAGAACCAAATAGTCACAGTAGAACAGCAGCAACAGTAAGATCAACACATCCAGGCCGACCAAAAGAGTACAAGCCATGAAGAGCATATCGAATAATCGACATCTGATATGGTTAAGGCAATTAACACACTAGCAAGCAACAAACTAACAGAAAATGACCAGCAACCACATACATCCGGCCACCCGACAGCACTATAAGGCCAAATCACAACAACACCAACCAATAACAAAACTGAAGGCCACCAAAATAGCTAACGAACCAACAAAGTAAAAAAGAAGCAGAATAATCATGCTCAGAACTTATCTCCTTGATTTGCGCCGACGACGCTTACCACCACGAGAGAAAGAGAGATTAAAGACATGACTAACATTCAATCCATACAAATCATGTACGGCTCAACGTTATCACCCCCAAGCCATCTTCCAATTCTCATGGAGAATCCAGAGATTCATCAAGCCAATCAGATTCCACCAAATAGGACTCCCCCAATCTCGAAATAAATTGAGACTTAAGAGTATTTGGCAAAATTAGATCAACAGGGACATCAATAAGAGATTCACAACCTACACTCCCCCCAACAGGGGTAGGAATAATCGGTACACCATGATCTAAATGGTAATTAGAATTATCCAAATCACCAGACGATTCATTATCCATTAACACATGATATTGAAAATTTTCCCTAACTACTCTATCATCTACACTCTCCTCGATATGAGCCAAAACAACAATACAATCCTCCACCACACCATCTCTAATCAAATTAGCATATGTTGTCCCAAGGATAGCCACATTAAGAGAAGAAAAGTCATCAGTATTATGGCAATTAGAATAATGTATCTACACCCTCCTCGATATGAGCCAAAATAATAACACAATCATCCACCACACCATCTCTAATCAAATTAGCTTCAATTGTCCCAAGGATAGCCACATTAAGAGAAGCAAAATCTTAGAACTTATTTCAATGATTTGCACCGACGACGCTTACCACCACGAGAGAAAGAGAGATTAATGACATGACTAACATCTAATCCATACAAATCATGTATGCCTCAACGTTATCACTCCCAAGCCATCCGCCAATTCTCATGGAGAATCCAAATATTCATCAAGCCAATCAGATTCCACCAAATAGGAGTCCCCCAATCTCGAAATAAATTTGAGACTTAAGAGCATTTTGTAAAATTAGATCAACAGGGACATCAATAAGAGATTCACAACCTACACTCCCCCCAACAGGGGGAAGAATAATTGGCACACCATGATCCAATGGTAATTAGAATTATCCAAATCATCAGACGATTCATTAGCCATCAACACATGATATTGAAAATTTTCCCTATCTACTCTACCATCTACACCCTCCTCGATATGAGCCAAAACAATAACACAATCCTCCACATCATCTCTAATCAAATTAGCATCCATTGTCTCAAGGATAGCCACATTAAGAGAAGCAAAATCATCAGTATTAAGGCAATCATC